TGTATTGCTGTCCCAGCAGATATCGGGGTGATTGAAGTCCCTCATGAGAACCAGGCCTGTGATCTAATAACTTCTGTTAGTTGCCTGAAGAAAGCCTTGTCCACCTCATCCCGTTTGTTAGGCAAGAGTTAAAATTCAGTTTGCAGCTGAGACAGAAACCCACGTAAGTAACAAACAGAAATACTAGAGGCCCAAGGACATGACAGCTGTAAACACTTGATAAACTTATACTCTAAAATTTCTGCCCAGTAACTTGGCTCTTAGAACAGTACAAATCCCCCTCCTACCCCCCACACACTGCTCCCTGGCTATCTGTGAACACTCAACCACACCACCCCTTCGTCTTACGGGTAGTCATAGATAATTGATGTAATTAGAATAGCTTCTATGCATATGTTCTCTTCCTGGCATTATTATGTTATATGTTCTCTGCTCTCTCTGAAACAATGTTTGTCTCTGTAAGTATAAGATATAGGCAAATGGAGTGATAATAAAAGCTATATAATTGGTCACTGTAGCACTACACCTTTGAAGCTGTTTATCAGTCTTCCTGGTACTGTGAATAAACCCCTTCAGTATTGTCTGTGCCTGCCTGATTCTTGGGAAAAAGAATCTCCTTGCTTCACACCCTGGTCTGGTGGTCTATAGCAGACTACCACCACCACATCACCCTTGTTGCTCACACTTTTAAACATAAACCAGAGACTTTCAGGTTTTTCTGTACTTTCATACTGGCACTCTGAGCACTCATACTGCTCCCTTAAATACAATGCAACTCCCCCACCTTTTCTGCCCTGCCTGTCCTTCCTGAACAGTTTAACTCCTTTAGGAGGGAGTCCCTGACCACCACAACCCGCCTCCTTCTCTTGGGAGTGGTGGTTGTGGAACCTCCATCCCTAGGACAGTGCATCTCATGCCTTCCAATGGTGGAGTCTCCTTGTGCTCCCTTCCATCAGATGTATCATCTAGTCCACTCTCCGCATTAGTACCTGTGGAGAGAACATGAAAATGGTTCCTCACCTGTATCTGCATTGCTGGTACATGGACACTCCTCTTTCTTTTTCTGGAGGTCACATGCTGCCAATTTTCCTCACCGTCTTTCTGTCCCCACTGCACAACCTGCTCTGATTCTTCAGAATGTTGTGCTCGCAGAAACATATCCTGACATCTGTCCAGGAAATCTTCATTTTCTCTTATGCAACGCAGGGTTGATACTTGTTTCTCCAGTCCTTGAACCTTCTCTTCCAATATGGAGACCTGCTTGCACTTTGTACAGACAAAGTTGCTTCTGTCCTGTGGAAGAAAGACAAACATGGCACAGCCTGTGCAAGGCACAACAGCTGATCACTCACCATCCATATTACCTTCCTTCTAAAACTTCAAAAACAGACTCCAACGAGAGACTGCTGAGCTGGAATTGATATGCAAACTAGATACAATCAACTCAGGATTGAATAAGGACTGGGAATGGCTGAACCATTACAAACATTGAATTTATCTCCCCTTGTAAATATTCTCATACTTCTTATCAAACTGTCTGTACTGGGCTATCTTGATTATCACTTCAAAAGTTTTTTTCTCTTACTTAATTGGCCTCTCAGAGTTGGTAAGACAACTCCCACCTGTTCATGCTCTCTGTATGTGTGTATATATATCTCCTCAATGTATGTTTCACTGTATATGCATCCGAAGAAGTGGGCTGTAGTCCACAAAAGCGTATGCTCTAATAAATTTGTTAGTCTCTAAGGTGCCACAAGTACTCCTGTTCTTTTTGCGGATACAGACTAACACGGCTGCTACTCTGAAACCTTCCTTCTAAGAGCTTCCTCATCTGCTGCAGTTGCCACTCAGAGAAGCCTGTAAGATGAAAGACCCAGTGGGCTCTCCCCAGGCAAACTACCAAGCAAACTCCCTTTTTTAGCCGCTCTGCTGGTTCGCAACCAGTGGGCCTTTTTATAACAATCAGGCCCACTCAAGGCCCATCTGGAACAAAGTACTCCCAATTCACATTTTTCAAACAATCAAGCACACGGTCAAACTGACAAACTGTCTCCACAATAGACACTAAGATACTCCTCCCCCCACAGCTCCTAACACAGCCCCCCAATGAGGCACTTAGCTTAGCTCCTATTGGACAGATCCCAGGCAAACTCCCTCTGTTAGTCTCTCGGCTATAACAGACCAAGGAAGGGGAGAAGTGAGGAAAGAAAAAAAGGAGATACAGGTATGTGTGCATGAAAGTTTATAAACAGATAGAGTCTTATCTCAGAATGTACAGCATTTGAAATGGACACATAGGTCCAAACTTTCCCATGGATGGGAAAATGCTGCTTAAAACAGGAAATTAAGTAACCATCTGCATGAGCTGTAGCCAATGTATTATTTGGTAAAAAGATAGAGAAAATGGTTAAAGTCAAACTGGGAGTTGATACTTCCTTCTTTGTCTTAATTAGGCAGGAATTGCTGACAAAATGTATCAGATGCATTCAGTGAGCTGTTTCTCTTTGTTCCCCACCCACCTTCTGGCTAAACCTGAAATCAGAGAAAATTCCTCAACATAAGCTTGTATTTTATTCTTTCAACACCAAGATTTTTTGCACTATATTCTGATCTCCTTTATATAAAATTCACATAGACTGATTAAATAAAGCAAGGATTGTCCTATTGTCCCCTAAATCAAGACAGTTCCATTATTAGCTTTTGCCTCAGAACATGGATAATATATTATTTTAAATGAATGGCCCTAAAAACCTACACAGACTCAAATATTTCATAAAGCAACAAACCTTGAAAAAAAACCATGAAAATACTGAAACAGAGACCAACAATCCTACCTTGTAAGGTATCACCTCTCTGCGTTAGTTGTGCTGCAGAGTGGTATGTTTCACCTTCCCACAGTAAATCATGTACAGTACAGCCAGTGCACTCTATCTGTGGACTTTATTCAAGTTACTGCTGATAAGGGCTGATCTGTGCTTCCAGGACACTCCCATTCTTGGGGGGATGGTGCAGAGCTCCCTGCTAGACAGTGGGAATAATCCCTTTCTATGTCCCATCAGAGGGCACAGAACACTTCTTTTCCCATCTCCCTCACCTGAGGTGTATTGGGCATGTTGTAAAAGAAAAACAACAGGGTCATGGACCTGTCTCTTCACGTCCCCTACAGATCAGAGCCACATGAGCACTTGCACTTCAGTGTGTGATCCGTGCTTGCTTCACAGAAGAGGGAGTGTGGGGCAAGGCAGAGAGGCTCATGGCACCGTAGCCCCCAACGCTTTTGACATTGTGCATCCACAGAGTGGCCAGGCCCGTTCTGGCCCTGAATCAATTCCACATTGCTTTTCCAGTGAAACCTGCTCAATTGTACTGAGCAAAATGAGGTGGGCCAACACAAGTGATGGGTGGCTGCTGAGTTCCTAGTGACTGCTTTCTGAACCATTGTTGGTATCTACCCGAACATTGTTTCAAAGCCTTCTCCTAAGGAGTGAGATAACTGGATTCAGTGAACTCTGATATTGATTTATTGGCACAGCAGCATGGAATGAAAACAGACTTTTCTGAACAGCTGAGGGTGTTCTAAGTTATACACAGCTGGGGGGTGACTGAAAGGGGTATTACATAAGATTGTATTGGGTACATTGCCCATTGCTTGTGAGATATCTAGATTAAAAAAAAATTGAAAACTATGACCCTGACGTGACACATTCTTGCAATAAATCAATATAGCAATGCACAAAGGAAGCTGTTATAATGCCTTATTTGGCAAGTCTTGCATTTCTATTTTATTTACATGATATAAATATATAATACCTCAAACCCATTGTTTCTTTTTTTCTATGTAGATTTTAGTTCCTTTAGATAAATAGGTTAAATTTGTTAAATAAGTCTTGATAGCGAAGAAGGGTGGTTTCTTTAAAAAGAAATCTGCCATTTTCATCTTTAAAAATACTCATTAGGACCAGCTGTGAGTAGGTGGGTGCAAGATATTGTGGCTTTATGCTCAGTTTGTGGTCATAAGTTGGCATGTCATTAAGGACAAAGCCAAGGGACACTATGAAGTCTAACTGTGTGATACAAGTATTTTATGTACTGACATGATACAAGTATTTTATGAATATGAAATATCTTTGTAACGGGTGTCATACTGCACTGACCAACAAGAATTTTGAATAATTGATAATGGATGTTGCTGGACAGATCATTTTATTTGCCTCCTGGTGTCAGAATCTTCAGGGTCCCAATGGGCCACATGTTTCAGTTTTTCTCTGAAACCATGAGGGTAGAAACTTTTTTTATAATGAAGTTGAAATTCTCATGATTCCAGGAGCTGGAACTTCAAGAAGAACAGGAAATATCAGGGGACTTGTAATAAATATATCCTGAGAGATGGCAATCCTGCACTAGCTCCCTTTATTGTCAAGACACCAAAGCCTCAGGTTGCCCACAATATGGCCACTATGACCATTTGACCTGCGCAAATGGAAATGAGGCTTTGTCCCAAAACCATGATCCCCACCCACTATTGTATCTAATAGGGATGAAACAGGCTATCCTCAGGAAAGATGATGGGTACCTTAGTCACTTGTCCATGTAGAAGTGTTCAAGGCACATTGAAGATTATTTGAAAAAAAAACCCCTTCTTATTATTTTAGTTCAGGAAATGAAATTTCCAAATTAAGTCAACTCTTTAGCCAATGAACAATTCTAACACAGATTTATTTACAAGTAAAAAAATAGTAATTTTATTTCTAACAATCATTTGATATGCTAAAGCCAGAATATTACAAGCTCAATTGGCAAGAGTACAATTATTATAGTTCTTAAAACTTTGAATTTTTCCACGCATCACTTTCTGTCAATATGAGTTTACATCAATTTCTCAAAGTTATTTGTTAACTGGAGACTGAAACCCAAAGTTTAGTGTGTGCGTGTGTGTGTGTGTACGAGAGACAGAGAGAGAGGCAGTTAATTTCCAGTTTCAATAACTTTTTGACAAGAAGATATGTTGCCAAAGTTAAAAAAGCAGTGGCAGTTAGGCATCAGGTTTTATGCAGTGGACTATAATGGGTTTCCCCTCCTCCACTTGCTGAGACACAGTTAGGTGGGGTCAAAGAGCTGGTGGTGGAATGGTAAATGAAAGAGGCAAGTGTCCGTGGGTATGGTTCTGCTGAGCATTTGTGTACAAAAGCTTTGACTGCATTTGAGAATTATTGAATTTAAAATTGGTGTGCTCTCACTTCAATCATGCAGAGATCTCTGATGTCATGCTATCTATTTTACATTATGGTTCATTTCTGATTCTGTTACATGCATATAGTAAAGAAGTTCCCGAGACACTTTCGTTCATCCCTAAGACACTGCAACTGATTTTGAATTGAAAATGTGAGTCTGTACATATGTACTGCTTTTAAGGCCCAATCCATCATGCATTAGCCCATGAAAGGAATCCCATTGATTTCAATAGGCATTGGATAGGGCCTTTAAGGAAGAATTGTCTGCTGCATTGTGGTAAGCAGCAGATGCTCAGTCACCCCATCATGTGCAGAGTAAAATATTTGTCACATAGCCTGTGTGCATTGAGTACCCACCGATGGTCCCTACTCTAGCACTGAATGTGCTGTGTGGGGAGGATGCGATGAGAAGACTGTGGATGCACATCATCTCCACGGTAGAACCTTGCTCTTGTTCCACCTGCTGCTACAAAATCAGTGGTTCATGCAGGCCCTCAGTATAATTCTCCTTCCACAGAAATGGAGTAACTGAATCTTGTCCTCTTCTGGGTAGGTAGAAGGAACCAGCCAAGTCTCATAGACTCATAGACTCATAGACTTTAAGGTCAGAAGGGACCATTATGATCATCTGGTCTGACCCCTGCATGCTGCAGGCCACAAAGCCATCCCTACCCCTTCCCTTGACACTGCTGTTGAAGTCCCCAAATCCTGTGGCTTAGTGACTTCAATTGGCAGAGAACCCCCCTGCTAGTGATCCCTGCCCCATGCTGCGGAGGAAGGCGAAAAACCTCCAGGGCCTCTGCCAATCTACCCTGGAGGAAAATTCCTTCCCGACTCCAAATATGGCGATCAGTAAAACCCCGAGCATGTAGGCAAGAGTCTCCAGCCTGACCCTTGTTAGCCATTATACTATTTACCTGCCATGGCACGGTATTCCTTTGGCTAAAATCATGTTTTTCCATTAAACCATTCCCTCCATAAACTTATCTAACTTAATCTTAAAACCAGACAGGTCCCCACCGTTTCCCTCGGAAGGCTGTTCCAATATTTCACCCCTCTGACGGTCAGAAACCTTCATCTAATTTCAAGCCTAAACTTCCCCACAGCCAGTTTATATCCATTCGTTCTTGTGTCCACATTAGTACTAAACTGGAATAATTCCTCTCCCTCCCTTGTATTTATCCCTCTGATATATTTAAAGAGAGCAATCATATCCACCCTCAGCCTTCGTTTTGTCAGACTAAACAACCCGAGCTCCTCTAGTCTCCTTTCATACGACAGGTTTTCCATTCCTCTGATCATCCTAGTGGCCCTTCTCTGCACCCGTTCCAATTTGAGTGCTCCTCTTTAAAGGTGTGATTTTAAACC